CATCTTCTTCAACAATATTTTTTCCTTTGTTTATAAATAGTTTTCATCTGAGTAAGTTTATGATCACAAATCATTTGATTTTGTTTAAGAGATTTAATCTCATTTTTTAAATTTTCAATTTCATCTTTCAAATCATCAAAGGAAGAATCTCTAATATGAGTAGTCTGTTTATTAAGTCTGTTATTAATTTCAGACAATGAATAAGGTGCAACATATTCAAATTCAAAATCATTCTTTTGTTTTTCTGAATTTTTTGAGAAACTTGAACTAGCATTATTATTTGCAGCTAAATGAATATTTTTTTCTCGAAGATCATTATCAGTGACTTTTTTCAAAAGTTCTATCACATTATCAGATGTAATAGTATTTACATTTAAATCTTGAAATTGAGATTGCATTTTATAAAATTCATCATTTTCACAAGAACATATATCACCATGACAGGTATTGCAAGCATTCGTTTTATCATGCTGATTACTATTAGATATATCAAGCAAATCAACTTCCTCTTCAGAATCAGAATCATAATCAGACTCAGAACCAGAAGTATATAACAAACTATAAATCTTATCATGAACTCCTTCATCAAGTTCTAAGGATTTCAACTTTTCAAGCATATAATTTGGTGTTATGCGACCGAAATTTCCATATCTATAGCACTTGATTTTAGCGAAATCACGCTTAGACCTATTTTTGATAAATCTATTAGATTTACGAAAAGTTTTTCTAGCGTCGCGCTATTCCTTAGATCTATAACTAGACCTCTTTTTCCTATAAGGTTTATCAGGGTTAGAATCTCTATATGTCTTTTTCTTGCTATCAGCAAAAGTATCAGGTAAATCGAATTGGGCACAAAAGTCTTCTAACTGAGATCTTTCTTTAAGCTTATCCATCTTAAGCTGTCTAGACAATTTTAATTCATTGCACAAATTTATTCCTTCTTGAGTGCAAACTCCTATCAGCTTACCATAAGTATAATTCTTATATGGATTTCACCATAATTAGTTCTCAGAGCTTTTCTAACTCTTTCGGCAAATAAAGGGGGAAGGCCATCTATAAACTTAGCTTTCCAATGCTCATAACTATTTTCGGGTAATTTCATCACCCTACTCATGTAAGTATCTTTATACCATCTAAATTCACCTAAGGTTCTACATCGTAGACCATTTAATAAGGTACGAACAGTCTTATATTGATTGGTAAATCTACCATTAAAATGTTTTTAAATGGTTAAGACTAAAGTATAAACAACGTCTTCTCTATTTTTTACCAGAATTATGCCTAAGTTATCAAAAACTTCATTATCAACAATAACATTTATCACTGCTGCTTTTTGCTCAATACTCATATAATTATCCCACCAACCTCTGAGTTGGCCAGTAAAACCTGCAATAATCATTTTCCAAATATTTCTATTTGTGGTTTTAACACTTTTACAAATAGTTGCATACATAAACATTCTATGAACAAGAATAGTTAATTGTCTATCAGTCAAACCATCAAGATTCCATTCGTAAATTTCAGACCCACTATAAGAGGTATTAGTCTGATTCCACTCTCGTTCCTCTATTAATACATCTTGAGGAGTTGATCTGGAATAATAATAGGTATGCATGCTTGGTTTATGGGCATACTTAGTATTACTATTTTTTTTGGGATAACCACGAAGTTTATTAAATTCTAAAGAAACGTGATTTTTAAAATCAAAAGTGTTTTTCATTTCATCCGCAAAATTGTCTGACAAATCAATAGGCTTTGCGCTTAAACCTGACAATTTTTTATAAAGAAGTTCTTCTAAATCATTTAATGATTTAAATTTAAAATTTCGAATCTCAGGGGGCCTTTGCACATGAGTAGAAATAATTTGAGCTTCTGAATTACCTTTAGAAGTAGAAGTCGTATCAGAAGTCTTTATATCATTTTTTATTTGAATTACTATGCAGTTAATTCATTTATTTTTTTTATCAAGAGAACTAATATGTTCACCCAAAACTTTAACATAAAGACCCAAATAATTATTTTGAAAAATTAAATTATTTATTTCATTAATGTTGACTGCCGCAACATCTTCTTCAACAAATTTTTGAAAGGCAGTAAAGGTGATACATGTATTATTTGGTAAAATAAAAGATGACTGAGGTGGATAGACAACCTTAATAATATTACCAGAACCATTTTTATAAGATCATTCAAGAACGTTGATGTATAAAGGTAAATAAGTAGTTATAAACCAGGGTATAAAATACATAATTTGATTATGTAGAGCACAAGTTTCATAAAATTCTTGAGAAATATTATTCAAATCATTAACACTATAAGTGTCAAAAAACCATGTTTTAAACTGATTCCATTTATTATTCGAAAATTCTTTCTGAATGTATTTTCTTACCAGTGAACCTGGACTAAAATCTATTTGATGTGTATTAAAATATGATCCATCATGATATAAACAATAATTTATCTCCGTAGTAATACTATAAAATACCATTTTGTTGTGTTATCATTTCATTTTAGATTAGATCTCACCAAATAAATTCAGCCACATATCCTCTCAATTATTGCTTTCTTTTTTTAAATTGATTTATTTAATTAATTTAATGACTATGGGACGTCTTTTTCAGTTAAATAAGACTATTTGAATTTGTTAATTAATCCTTCATCAATTATGATTAGATCATTATATAATTCTAGATCATACATAGTACTCAAGTTTTCAATTGAATCTTTTTGTTGAGAATAAGATATGGAAATCTAGATCCAATCAAGCGAGATTTGTCCCTTGAGAAGTAGTCAATATTCAGACGTCTTATATTAGTTGTCATGTTTCGCTTCTCGAGAGTTAAATTTGATTATATTTTGAAGTTAAGTATTACAAGATCAACTCAATATTGTACAATTAAATATAGATATTCAAAAATTATCCGAAAAACACTACTCTACAAGTTATAACTTTTCTTATGTCAATTTGATGAAAAATATATTTTAAAATATTGATCAAAATTATATAATTTAAATCTAAAAAAGGAAACATAACAATTAATATCAAACGGACGGAGTATATTATTGTCGTGAGGAAAAAAGAAAGCAAGAAAAGTAGTAGATCATATTTTTGGTAACGAGGTGCTTAGTAAATTGTACCAATACAAATTAGTTGTATGTTGTTATCTACATATTATGTTAAACATTTACCTACTTAATTAATTTAAGCTAATAATATATGCAAGAACTATTACTTATGTTCATCAATAATCGTTTGGCTAAGCAATTCCTTACAGTGTTAAATTTTCTTTTTCTTATTTCACTTATTTATTTATTTTTGCTTAAAGAAGATTATTTGAAAGCATAATTAGATAGTTCAATTGATCAAACAAAATAAATCACTCTATATATTTACTTATATGACCCATTTCATTTTGTTGAGCATTAGTTCAAGATATTTGAACATGTCTAATATTATATAATCTTCCAAATACACAAAGATATATGTATCGTATTTATATTGAGCACAAATGAGTGACAATAAAACGGCGCGAGGGATAAATCAAATTAACATGTAAATAAGGTTTGTTTATACTTGATTTGCCAATACCATCTCAAACAAATTAACTTGTAAATAAGGTTCATTTGAACTTGATTTGCTATTACCATCTCATCTAAAAACTTAAGTTGTTAGAGAGAACACACTTTTATCGATTGATTATATTCTCAACACGCCCCCCCTCACGTGTGGGCATGATTCTTTTTCATGGCCTAAGTACGTGGAAATTCTTTATTAATTTTGGGTGGCGGTGAGATTCAATCTCAGGACCTCTGCCTGCTCTGTTACCATATTGAAGTGTGTGATCATCTCATCTAAAAGCTTCAGCTGTTAGGGAGAGCACACTTTTATTGTTTGATTATATTCTCAATATAGTGATTTAAAATTATGTTGATTTGAATTTGAAAAATTATTTTGTATATATAATTTGAATTTCTTAAAATATATTTTGTCGTAAACATAAAAGCGTTATAATTTATAAAAAATAAAAAAAAACAAATTCTCAATTATTATACAAACCTATTATAATAAGCAAATCATAATTCATAATTAAGTTATCGAAATATTCTAAAACATTATTATATCTCTATCTTTCTTTTATAAATAAAAAAAATATTGAAATTATATGTTGTTACAAACTTTCAAATAACACATATTTAAACAAAATTCACTAGTCAACATTAGTACTAACTAGCTATTTTTAATACAATCTTTTCACATGATATGAACAATCTTTTCACGGATATGAATTTTCATCTGCAAAATTTTAAAATGATAATTTTTATAAACTTATGAATCAATTTTGGAAAAAAAAAACAAATATACCTCCGAACTATCGTAAATAGTATACATATACCCTCGTCATACTTTTGAGACATTGATGTTCCTGCCGTCCAAAAACTAGAGCATATATACCCTTCACTCTAACGGAAGACTAAATAGGGACACATAGTGAAATCTTATCCGTCGGGTCAGTGGATCGAAATATGACATGTGTATGACCGTTAGTATAAAGGGTATATATGCTCTAGTTTTTGGACGGCGGGGCTCGAATGTCCCAAAAGTATAACGGTGGATATTTGCATACCATTTATGATAGTTCGGGGTATATTTGTTAGTTTTCCCATCAATTTTTTACATTTTAAAAAAAATTAAAATTCTTATTTTTTTCTTCTATTGTTCAAAGAATAAGAGATTTGAAATCACATTTTGAAATTGAAAATTTATAAACCAAGCTAATTTTAAATCAAAACTTAAAATTAGACTATGATCAAAGATTGCTAAGAAAATGTGGATGTTTGAAAAAAATATGAAAAATATTTCAAGCATAACAAAAAAGAAAGAAAAAAAAAGAGCTTCAACCCTTGTGCTATTCCAACATGACTACTTTAATCCTTAATAAATTGAGAAATTGAAGTCGATAAAGTGCCCATCAAACCCCACTTACGCTCTTCCTCCTCAGTCCTCACTCAATTTTCCTTCTCTCAGCTTGGAGAGCCAAAGAATCCATAGCAAGCAAAATGGGGTTCTTGTCATTTCTTGGAAGGGTCCTCTTTGCTTCTGTTTTCATTCTCTCTGCTTGGCAAATGTATAGTTTGCTTCCTCTATCTCTTTATATTTAGATCTGTTCTTTACATGTTTGACTTTTTGTTTACTTTCTTGGTTTTCTGTGTATTTGCTTGCAGTGTAGTAAAAAATATGTGGGTGTTGATAGATCCAGCCAAATAGGTTGCTGGGTTATGTGGGTTTTGAAGAAATGTGTAGTATGAGTATATGGTTGAAGCAAGAAGGGGTTTTGGTGATCTGTTGAAGCTAAAAGGGAAAAAAGATTTGAGCTTTGTGAATCTTGATTGTTATTCTGAAGTTGGGTGTTAACTATTTGGTATGTTTGGTTTTGACTTGACTGTTTTGTGCTAGATGCATTTAGTTGTATGTTGAATCTCTTTTCTCCTAGCTCCAGCTGGGTGGAAAATAGGGTATTGGAAGTTAAAAAGTGGGTGTTCATTATGTTTAGTCTCTACTGCTCTGTCAAGGCAAAGTATTAGGGTAGTTTCCAATCTTGATGAAGTTCATCTTGGGTAATGGTTCAGGGAGTAAGTCTTAACTTTATTGTTTTAGTTTCTCTTGGAGCCAAGTTGCTTTTAGTTCTGGCCAAAGTTTTCTTAAGTTGAATCTAACAGATGGGTAGGAGGATGTTTTGCCAACAGCACTTACCTTTGAGGGCTACCATCATTACCCCTTATCTTACCCACTTCCGTTTTTCTTCTACGTCTTTATGGTAGAAGTTAGAACCATATTTTGTTTTTTGAACCATGGGAGTGAGTGGTTATTTTTTCAAATCTGCTTTGATATGCTCTACTTGAGCCAAGGGTCTTATTGATAAACAATCTCTTCACCCCACAAAGGTAGGGGTAAGGTCTACGTACACGCCACCCTTCCTAGACTCTGCTTGTGGGATTACTCTGGCTATGTTGTTGTTGGAATGAGTGGTTATTATGTAATGTGCCTCAGAAGATTAGATAATGGTTTCATTTCTTTGAGGGTGGTTCCTAATGCGGTCTTCGTGTATACCTATTTGTGCTAATTGGTTATTGGAAGTATGTATACCAATTATGCTCTTTGAGTATGGAATTACTGTTACCCGAGTTGTCTATTACTGGAGGAAGAACCTTGATCTTTTTGGTGTTGCTTTATTCTGTGTTTGAGTTAGATAGTCGATTCGATTTTTGATCCATCATAGATTAGTAAGGGGCCATCAGATGCAGTTGACTTGGCTGTCACTGAGCTAAATGTAACTTTGAGCTGTTTGGAAAGACATATATAGGGTGGAATAACCGAGTGATCAGTCTGAGAGAGCCAGAAGTGTTCAAGTATAAAAGATAACATGGAATCCATTAACAGTAGGTTAAGATGAAAACATCATTGCACAAAGAAATATTTAAGCTCCGTAGTTTTGTTTAGTTTGCATTCAACGGCGAATTAATAGGCAAATATTGGGGCACGTGAATTGTGGTCTCTTCATAAAACTAGGCATTTTATGCATATATTTTCTAAAATTAGTTTTATATTATCTGGTGGCACTTATGCTACCAAAAGACTAAATGCACTTGGCTGAAGGTTGAGTTATTTACCTAGGGATCAATTCTCATTAAATACAGTTTTTCCTTCTTTTTAGTGGTGCACCTATGTTCTAAAAATCCTAGATTCGCCACTATTTGCATTGCTAGGCACTAACATCAGATGCCATACTTTGAGCTATTATCCTCCTCCTCTCAAGGGAGCTAAGTTGCTACATGGTTGGCAGTAACATCAGATGCCATACTTTGAGCTTTTATCCTCCTCTCAAGGTAGCTAAGTTGCTACATGGTTGGCAGAAAAAAAATTATGTGATGTGTTGGTGAAGTAAGGTGATATTTTGCTTGATATTCTTTAGATATGCCTTCTGTCGTGGAAAATCTGTTTGCTGCTGTTGTGGGCAAAATAGATCAGCTCTGGCTAAAACCTTTCCTTTCTGTTCTTAAAAGGATTTTAGATAGCTAATGCTATATTTGCTAGTTTTATGTTCTTGTTGTTGGTTGGTAATTTCTTTCCAAGTTCCTACCCCTTTAGGACTCCACAGGAAAAGTGACCTTTATGTTGTAGAACTCGCCTTACCCCTCTAGTTGTAACATGCCAGAGTAAATATCCTCAGATTAAACTTTTAAATAGGCAAACAACTTTCATCTTTATCCTCAGCTGTAATTTCATGCTATCAGCAGGTTCATTAAATTATTGTATTTTCTTGAGTAATGCTAATGTTGCAAAATGATCCAAAAACTGCAAGTACTTTGCTGGCTATTATTAGTACATGGTTCAAGTTACAATGGAATTACAAAGGCAGTAATAAAGGTGATTGCACTGTGTGGGGAAATGGTACTAGTGATTTTCTTTTTGAGTTTTAGTGCTTCCTAGCCTGATTCCATCAAGAGGATGGGTGTGGGTGGAGTACTTTTGACCATTGTAAAAGTGTTTTGCCAATGCCGTGTCGAAGTTTGCATCTTTCTTCTTATGATATCACTCTTAACAGTCCAAATGAAACCAACAAACTCACAATTTTAGTTTCCATAGCATCTTTCCCTCCTTAAAAGATTACTCTTCTTCATGTTACCTTTCTCAAAAAAAAAAAGTTTACTCTTCTTCCTGGATGATGCAAAGATTTTGCCTACTAAACTAATGTTGGTTGAAATGTGATTTTGCAGGTTCCATGAATTTGGAGAAGATGGTGGACCTGCTGCTAAGGAATTGGCTCCCAAAGTGGCTGGTCTGCAGGATTTTCTTGAATCCAAGTTGGGGACAGGAACACCAAAAATTGATGTAAATGGTTATATCCTATTTCACTAGATAAGTTGAATTTTGTTTTTTTTTTCTGTCGTAAAAATGGATACTGGTATGACATTTGTGAAACACTTTTTTCAGGTTAGGCATGTGGTAGCAGCATTCATGGCTCTAAAAGGATTGGGTGGATTGCTATTAGTATTTGGCTGCTTCACTGGTGCTTTTCTACTGGTTAGGAATTTCAGTCTCCTAGAATTGATTGACACCTTCGTTTAGAATTATCCGTACACACTATGTTTTAACTTTCAATCATCTGTCATCAATACTGCAGACAGTGTTTTCAAAAACGTTTTTGGGGAGTCTCGGGGCGGGGCGTACCAAAAACGCCCCGAGGCGTAAATTAAAGACGTAGATCCATAAGGCGTAAGTTCTAAAATTTGAGGCGTAAGCCTCGAGCATAAAAACACAAGTCCTGGGCGTAAAAACGTAGACCCGGGCGTTTTTAATTTATTTTTTTGAACTTATTTTTGCTTTAAATCATATTTTTTTATTATTGGTGTAATGATATTTCGCAAATAGTAATTATAATACTTTTTTTTTCATTATTGATTATTAGTACTTATCTCAAATAAAAATCATAATATAATTTCTATATATTATAGGTTATTTATAAAAAATTATTTGTAAAATCACTGAAAGGTTTACTTTTGCTTATTTTATCAGTAATAAAACTATAAAATTGAATATACATGAGATTACGCCCTGTAGATCCATGGGACTTATGCCTCGTGTCTCGGGGCTTATGCCTCGCTCTGTACTGTATAAAACGTCTTGCCTCACGCCCCCACCTTTTAAAACACTGACTGCAGATATGTTACTTGATAATGGCCACTCCACTTCTGCACGATTTCAGCCACTTTAACATTGGAGAACCACAGTATTTCATTGGTCTACAAGAGTTCCTCCAGGTTTGTCAAAATTAAATGTTATTTCCTTCTAACAAGTGAAATGCATCCAAAACATGAGTTAAATCGGATTTGCTCCCTTCTGTAGTGTCTGGCACTCCTTGGTGCATTGCTGTTTTTCGTGGGGATGAAGAACTCGATTAACCGGAGGCTACCAAAGAAAAAGACCCTCAAGTCCAAGACAACTTAGGATACATCATTGAGAAGAGGGGATTGTGTAAGATTGGATTATTCATCGGTTTGTTGGTTAGCCTGTATGATTAGAAGTGACTAGTTAACCCTCTCACCTGGAATTTTTTGCATATTTTTTTCCTCTTGAAACTAACTGTTGTTGAATTTATGGGGGTGCAATATTGCCACTGTGAGGAGGTTTTGAAAATTTAAGGTATTTGAATTCCCTGTTATATTAAGCTTTTGCAATGTCTTCATTTAGTAGTGTTACTACTAGTCATAGAATGTTTGGTTGAAAATCAATGTTTTAACGTGAAAATTCTAAATTGGAAAATATCTTGTAACATGTTTTTCAGTTTACTTTTTTGCTTTTGAAGTTGTATTTCAAATTTTGACAAGTACATTCAATCATAAATATTTTTTGCAAAGCATAACTTCATTTAGGACTGTTCAAAATCAAATTGGAATCAAAATTAATTTTATACAAGAAATTGCAAGTGAGAATCGAAGTGTAATATTTTCGGAAACCTAACATGAACTTTATAAAAGTTCATACATTTAAATACGTAGTTCATTATCGATTTTATACACAAAAGTTGTTTGTTCTCAAAAATCTAGTATCAACTTTAAGACAAATTTTATACAATTATATATATATATATATATATCGATTTTATACCCAAAAATTGTTTGTTCCCGAACTTATAGTATTTTTTTGTATCGATTTTATACATTTTTAATTTTTTATACACAAAAATTTGACCAAAATTTTAAGCCTTGAATTAAATATAGTATATGTTTTGAAAAAGAAATGCTACTATGTTTAGTAAACGAAAAATTCTTTCTATATTTTGTAAATATGACCTAACTTTGTATATATAGAAATATATCTACCTTCCATAAAGTCATTATAGCCAAGAACTAGAAAAATAATTACATAAATCTCTCCTCAAATTTGATTTTACAACACTTTTTTTTTGTGATTTATAATATTAACTATTATGCTCACCTTTCTTGTTTTAATTTTTCTTGTAATACATTTTCTAACCACATTTTATTAATGTAAAAAATACTATAATTTATCTAATTTATACTTTATAATATTTTGTTTATTTAATTAATTTTGTAAACATCCTTTACTACAAGAAAAGAATCATTTCTATTTCTTCTGCGTCAAAATTTTGGTAAAGGAGTTGCAACAGCAAAATATCTACTTTTGCTTGTAATAAGCAAATTCAAACACATATGTAAATATCATGTTAATATCTAAATTAAAATTTCAAATTAATTTAACGATTCAAAATTAAACTTAATATGATATTATCTCTATAAAATTACTATTGAAAAATTATTTTATTATGTATTCATCAAATAAAGCAATTCAATAATTTATTTATATATATACACACAAAATGGTTAGTTTTACCAGATTTCTATGGTAATATAATTTTCAAACGGAGAGAGTTCAGTTAAATATTTGTACCTTACTTTGATTCTGCCTTTATTTATATCAAATATAAACTGAATAGACATTTTAAAGTTTTGATCCTTAATCTATATACATAATCATAAAAATAAAATGAAAAGAGTAATCACGATTATTAAAATTAAAAATGCTAAATTGATAGTTTATATCTTTAGTAGTCACTATAGCGTGAGCTGTGCTCACGAGATGATTCATTGTCATGTGGTCCTCATTGGAGCTCATATATTCATCACCATGCTAGAAGTGTCCATCTTCATGGGTGGAGTCAGAAAGATGAGGTTCATCTGAATTTTCTTTTCGAAAAATCATATCATATATGTAAAGTTGAACTCTATGCGGGGTTTCAAACTTAGACACTGTTGGGTTTTAAAGGTGTGAACAGGAAATGAAGGGTTGTGACTCTCCTGAAGAGTTGTGACTATGCCGAAGGGTTGTGACCTTTATGAAAGGTTGTGTCCTTTCTAAAGGGTTGTGACCGTTTGAAAGGGTATGCCTTTTTCAAAGTGTTGTGACATTTCTGAAAGGTTGTCTTCTTTCCAAAGGGTTGTGACCTTTACCCTTTGTTGGTTATAAATATAAAGGTTTTCTCTCATTTTTCTGCATCGAATTCTTCCCTTCTTTTGCATACATTTCTTACAAAACAAAATCGATCGATCGTGTCTGTGTGTGTGATTCGTTGCTGTCATTTTGAGTTCGTTGAAATTATTGAAGTTTGAGGTACCGCTACTTCTTTAATGGTTAATCCGTTTTATCTTGGGAGGAATTAATCTGCAACCTCGGGTACTTGAGGGGATTAAATTTCTTAAGACACACAGTGGGTTCTGTGGACTCGGATAGTTCTTTGTGTTTTTCTTTTCATCTTTATTATTTCTGGTTTGCTAATCTGAATACAGGAGACAACAAGCTTAAGAAATTTAATGTTGGTATTTTCTGTGGTAAGGAAATTACTTCTATTTTATGTGTTCTTTTTTATTGGGGAAAGAAAAAGAGAATTATTTTATCATATGATAAAAGAGATTTGGGATGAATTAATACTACTTTAATATGTTCGAATTTATTTTTTGTAGTAAGTTTTTCTTGGATGGGTAAGATTATTTTTATTTTCTTCCCAAGTGCATTCAAGCATTGCACCCCTTCAGTTTTCTTTTCAATGAGAAAAACTATTTTGTGCATAAAGGATAAGATGAACACTTTAATTTTTTCCCTATATTCTTGGTTTTATATAACTATGAGAAGAAGTAAATGAACAAATGTTGTCTCCTAACAAGAAAAGTGACTTGCATGGAATTATTGCTGACAGATAGAATATGATTCAATGAGAGTAAAAATCAGGTTCTATCTTTATTTCCCTTGATTTTTTTTCTATCCTTTATAAGTTATGAAATTTATTTCATAAATGTTAGGATAGATGGTTATTATGTGATGATCTCAGAATATATCTTTATAATATGTATTCTATTTAGAGGAGGAATTTTTTTTTTTGTAGTTTTCTACTCCATGTGAAATTTGATTGTGTTTGACTTTTGGAGATTATTTTTTTTACTCCTTTGGTTTGAAGAATATAAGAACTTCACGAACAAATCAGATTGTGCATTGGTTTGAAGAATATAGAAACTTCACCAATTTGTTAAATACTCTGTTTGAATGAATATTATGACTTGAAGAGTACAAAATCTTCGTCAGGAATATTAAGGCTAAATGATTGAAAAAGATAATATATTCATTGTTAGCTCGAAACAGTGTTGTATTTGAGGTTTCTGGAGATTAAAACCTTTTTGGTTTACTACTCTACCTGAATGTGAAACTGATTCGAAGAATATTAAAATTTCATCAGAATTCAAGATTCATTCAGTTAACGATTAGAAGAATATAAAAACTTCATCGTTAAACTAGAAACAAGTTGTATAAAGATTGAATCTTTATTGTTAGTATTCTAAATAGTGGTTTGTCTAGTTGTGACAAAAAGGAAAAAAATAAAAATACTAGTGACATAAAATTAGTGGGTTTTGTGCCTGCAATGGGTGTTTATATGGATTAAATCTCCAAAAGAAGGCTTCATGTTGCCAATGTGTAAGCATGGGAAAAAATATGTGGAAAATAATTTCAAATACTTGCTTACTATCTAATTTAAATTTAAAAGTACAAGATATGAAATTTAATGACAATCTTGTATTATGTTTGACCCACAAAATTCTTGGAGTATAATTGATATTGTGGTCGTTGAGTCTCTCTTTACTAGTATATGATATGACTAGTATGAAACCACAAAATTACATTACTCATTGAAAAGAATTGTATTCTTTGATGAAAAAGCTTCACTTTAAATATTGTGATTTTTAATGAAAAGATATGTCTATTAAAACAATTTTTTTGTATAGACATGAACATTGATGAAAAATGATTTGTTATGTTTGTTTTGTAAAACAAACATTTGGGTCACATTGCGCTTATTGGACCGATGAGACTATGGCCATGGGTAATTTCATAACAAATTGAATGTTATGAAAAGGTCCTCTAAAAAGGACATATGACAAGGTGTTGACACTAAACCAATGTATGTATTTGAGAAAGTTATAAAAAGTAAAGAACAAAATATTTGTGGAAAAAGGTTACCTCACAGAAGGTCTTTTCAAACTTAGTATTTCAGTTTGTTCTTACTTGCTTGAATCAAATTGTTTGTGACATAAATGTTTGGGACATGTCAATTACAAAACCTTGCAAAAACTGATCAACTTAGAAGTTTTGCCTAACTTCTAGTGCAATAAATCAAAATGTCAAGTATGTGTTGTTGAAAGGAATTTTAATACCTTAGAATTGATTTACGATATGAAGTCAACACCATCTCGTGGTGGGAAAAAGTGTTTCATAAATTTTATTAACAATTGCACTAGATATTGTTATGTTTATTTGTTCAATGGTAAGGATGAAGCAATAGAAACATATAGGCAATATAAAACTGAAGTTGAAAATCAGTTGTATAAAAAAATTTGTCACGATTAGAAGTGGTAGATGTGGAGAATATGAATCTTCTTTTGTAGAAATATATTTGGAAAATGGAATCATCCATCCAATTACTACACATTCTCACCTCAATCTAATGAATTGAAAGAAATGTTGAATGTCCTATTTATAAGTTCAGGTTCACCACAAAATTTGTGAGGGGTGCTATCATTATAGCAAAAGAGAACAACAAAAAGTTTGTCTATTCAGAAAGAGAGAAACAAAAAGTTTTGTTTGTTAGTAAAGGGAGTAACAAATTATTTTTTAAAAAAAAAAAAACTTTTGTTTGTTAAGAAAGGGAGCAACAAAAAATTGTGTTTGTTCATGCTTTGTTGTATCCTGATAGAGAATTGTTTGTCCTCCCTTAAAGTATATACAAGCAATAACTCTTGAAAGATAGTGATCTAACAATTTCCAATACAGTTTGTTCCATATGAGAAATGGAAATGAGGGAACTATTCCCAAAAGGGTCAAAATAGGACCTAAGACTGTGGATTGTATGTTCATTGGATATGCTACAAATAGTAAAGCATGTTGATTTATGGTTCTTAAGTCCGAACTATCGGATAGTCAAGTGAAGGGTCTAAACGACCTTGGAAAGAACCAAAGGAGAATGTACTTAATAAAGAAATTCATATGCGTAGTAAATGTCAATGGACAAATTACTTCCTACGAGTTTGATTTTGTAACATTTCTTCTTGAAAATGAGTCTCATATATTCTAAAAGTTATGTCCTTTGTGGACTCA